AGATAGATAGATAGATAGATAGATAGATAGATAGATAGATAGATAGAGTAGCATTTTCTAATTATACAGAAAAAAAAAGTGTTGTCAAAATTCATATATAATAGAAATGTGTCGTGGGAGATGTAATATTGTTCATCATATAGAACAAATAATATTTAAAATCCTGGAAGAATACTGTTTTTTTTTTCAGTTTGTGAATTCAGTGAACCAAGTTAACCAAATATTTCTAGATTATTTTCTGAAATTAAAATAAAAGAGAAAAAACAACACGAATAGATTTATACTGATTATCGGAATAGTTTGGCTGCAGTCACTTTGGATTAAGGAGCAGATGGATTGGCTGTTTCTCTGAGCTTTGGTGCAAATGAAAAGAGAATAATCTTCAGGTTCCAGGGCAAATGTCAGAATCTCTCACTGCAGACAGACAACCTTTCTTTATCTTTTCTTTTTTAATCAAACAAAATCACATATCTAATCCCAAGATTCTAAAAATAAAGTACAAAGTTACAAAATCATTTTCAGAAAAATAAATTGTTCTACTCGTTTTGCCTTCTGTATTGATTTGTGAGCGTACAGGGCATTTAATCAGCTCTCAGTTTAAAACTTTATGTGGTTTGTTAACTCTCAAAGTGTGGTTCGATACTGTGACATTTGAAAAAGCCAACAGCTCCCAGAACAAGTCATTTCAGTCTTGTCTTCTTTCCCCATCAGGTCAAAGCTGACATTTTGATCTGTGCAATATTTATGAAGTGTTCAAGTTGGAAGCTAAATAATATGACAAGAAAATCTGACGTATAGCTCACAGACAAACTTAATGAACTCAAGCTCATAGTGTCTCCAGGTAGAGTTTTAACAACCTGCTTTGATTCTCTCTTCAATGGAAAGATCATAAATGTTGTTCTAATAACTTAATAATCTCAGATGGGACAAAAATATACTTTTGGTCATCAGATTTGTCTATTAGGTTTTTAAAAATGAGCCTTATGTAAAACAAATTTTGGCTTTTTGACGGTAAAGAAAAAGAAACTTTATATAAAATATCTTGAGAAAATTTATTTTCACAAAAAAGCAGTAACGCTCCACATTTTGAAGTACAAACAAGTTTTTTTAAAGTACAAAGGTAGGACTGAAAGCTTCTTTTCACAGAGTTTTCCATCAAGGCCACGTGATTGTACCTCGCAGTCCTTCTCGTCCTCAGTGAATATCACGATCAGCATCATGACTAAAAGAGCTCACGAACAACATGGAGTGTTCATTCCATCCACTTTCTCATCACAGTGAGTCGCTCAGAATATTCCTCTTTAGTTTGCTGTTAAGTGCCTGTATAATACATCCATTAGGAGTATGCTGTGATAAGCACACCAATAAGCATGTTGTTGTGATGACAGCCAAACAGCACAGCCTGGTGGAAAGGAGCCACAGGGCTGTGACGTGGAGTGGCTAAAGGTGGATGTGGATAACAAGTCAAGTGCACCGTGTTGAAGTTACAGCTTTGACGAATCACTCTTTTTAAAACAATACAATAAATTCAAGTAAACAGGATTAGGATATTTAGAATATACGTGATGCATGATGACAGAACAAACACAGGAGTGAAAAAATAAAAAAATAAAATAAAAAACTATTCCAGTGTACTAATTACCTTAAAACCTAAAAACTACTAAACTAAAGACTAATATTCACATAAAGCGTAAACGTGACGGCTTTATCAAGCTTTTGTCTGGCACCAAACACACAGTAGTACTTTGTAACACTGGGCTATTAAATATGGTGTAAACATTAAGAAGTTACAGTATTTTTTTTTAAAGGCTATAGTAAACAAATCTGTAGATTTTCTGTTGAACAAGCAATGATTCTAAAATGATATAGTAGGAAATAAAGTAGAAAAATTGTAAATAATTATAT